ATTACAAGAAACCCACCTAAAAGATAACCAAGAAATCAATTTAAAAAATAACATTTATAACCACAACCAAAATACATGGGACATCAATCCTCATTAAGAATGCCATACCACATAGTCAAATCAACATGAATACCAATCTACAAGCCATTGCTATATCAGCAACAATGCACACAAAATCTTCACTATATGTTCAATCTACATCCCCCACTCCCAATGAAAATCTTAGAAATAGAAATGAGCACTCTCATACAACAACACCCAAAACCCTTTATTCTGATGAAAGATTTCAACAGCCACAACATACTTTGGGTAAGCAGGAGGACAGATAAGAGTCAAAACAATAAAAAACATAATAAAAATAGAAAACCTATATCTATTCAGTAACAAGTCATATACATATCTACACCAAGAAACAAACAATGGGCACCCTAACTTCATGCTGGAACCTTAAAAAAGCTGACTGGGAATTATTTAAAGAATTATATCAAATGTAACTGATCCCAGAAGAAAATAAAAACCATGAAGACAAATAATGAAGATTGTATCATTTGCTTAACAAAAACCACTCCTGTCTATTGCAGAACAATGCATACCAAAATCAAAGCTCAAATCCCCAAAATATACCAGAGACCTTTGACAATAAATGTAAAAAAAGCTATTAGAGTATGACATACTGCATTCTGTAAATTTAAACTGCATCCAACCCCTCAAAATATAAACTTTTTCAAAATAAGTAAAGTATGAAGAACAATTAAAAACTCCAAGCAAACTTCATGGAAAAACTTTATCCAATACAAAAACCAAATTTGTTTGAAAAATGATTCACAAAATCTCTGGCAAATATAAAAATACCCCCTTGAAGCATTTATTACAAAACTACACTCAAGTTACCAACAAACAGGATATTGCAAATCTTCTAGCCAAAACTTAAAAAAAAACAAAAAAACCCTTCATCAAATAACTATTGCAAACAATTCTGGGATATTAACCTTTACAACTTCGCACTAAGTCTCCGGGATCCATATTAATTTTGAGTGTGATTAGTTTTTGAATGGTGGATATATTACTAGCATTGTAACTTTTAGGATTTTGGTGATATTGTTATAAAATTTTGGGGTATTTGCATGAAAGGATGTAGAAAATGTAAACATTTTTTTTTTTACTCTACATATAATAAATTTTAAGAAAAAAGAAAAACATCAGGAAAACTAAAACAAAATATGACAGAATTGATTAAAAACGATTCCTACTCATTATGTTGCGAAAGCCTTGCATATATAAAAAGGGGGGGCGGTCTGTAAGGTCCACCTTATCATTTGTATACTGGTTAGTTTCCACTATTATTAGTTGAATAACTTCATAAGATAAAAAAAAAAAAAGAAAAACATCTACCTCACTAGCTTCTTGATTAACATCTGTAGGTCTGGTAGTATAGGAAAATTCTGGTAGCCACAGGTGATTATATGCCTGTGATGGTTCGAAAATTCCACCTTCATGGTGTGAATCACTTTCAGTCTCAGTCACACACATCACCAATATCTGCGTGAGTAAATCTGAGAAATTCTTCCTCGTCACTCTCACTGTCCATGAAAAGTTCCTCTATTGATGTAACAAATCCATGCCTTGTCTAGGGGGTCACCATTGTGATCGAAAAATGAACATTTTTAAAACACTTTTATTAAAATTTGTTGACAAAACAACTATTTCAGTTAGGACAAAATGGCTGGCATCCAGTGATTCCCAGTTTATATCACAAGCTTAATGATGTAATTTCCATAATAATAGATTATTTTTAGAAATGTACTTTCCCTTTGAAACAAAGCTATGTCATTTGGTGATCATGTTTGCCAAGAGAATATTGAGAAAGAGTATTTCCTGTGGACATGTACACCTTCAGAGTTGTAAAGAGTAAAAGAAACTAAATTTCTACTCAAGGAATTAAGAAGATTACAACCAGTGTTACTTTTTATCAGAACAACAGGTCGCCGTAAATAAATCACGTAACTCTGCTGCTGGCCTTGTCGAGATCCACTATGAATACCTGAAAACTCATAAGACATTTCCTTATTTGAGATATATAAGAGTATATGGATCAGTGGTAATATTCCCAGTCTCTGGAAACAAGCCACCATGATTCTAATTATGAAGACTGACAAAGACCTGTAAAATCCTTCAAACTATTGGACAATTGAATTTACTAAGTGTCTTTGCAAAACTCTTGAACTGCAATAGAACAGCTGGTTTGCCTGGCGTCTACTATTAGAAACACTTTTATTAAAAAGGAACACTTGAGAGCAGTATTCTTTGACATAGAAAAAGCCTTTGAAGCAACATGGAAACATGGCATCATAGATCTAAACAAAATGGGTCTCAATTGAAGACTGGCAATCTTTATTAACAGCTTTCAAGTTGATACTATCCTTTCTATATGATCAAGAAATGGGCATGCCACAAGGGAAATCTTACCAGTTACCCTCTTTAATATTAAAATAAATGCTATTGTTAAATGCTTGAATCCAAGAATTGACTGTTCATTGTGTATTGATATTTACTTGATCTACTATAAATCGAAAAATATCCATACAATTGAAGCATCAAATCCAATATCTCAATAAAGTTAATAAATGGGCTACAGAAAATGGATTCAGATTCTCTAAAACAAAAACACAGTTTGTTACATTTCTGTCAACTCTAAAAGCTACACCACAATCCTGATTTAAAACTTGATGATTCTGATATTCCTGTTGTGGGCCAATATAAATTCTTGGGCATTTGATAGAAGGTTACCTTATATACCTCACATTATATATCTTTGAGCTAAATGTAATAAAGTAATCCAAATACAGAGTGGCTATCCCATACAGAATGGGGACCCTATTGAAATTATATTGATAACTAGTTGGGTCCAATCTCAACTAGGGTTGTTTCATTTATGGTGGTGCAAGGAAGGCATACCTGAAGGAGCTTCATACAATTCATCATCAACGACTCCAATATGTCCAAGGAACTTTTTAGAACATCCCCAGAAGAAAACTTGTACGCCAAAACCCTTAAGAAATTAGCCCTTTCACTACTATCCCAAACACTATTCCTGTCCAGTTAACCCTACATTCAACAGTGTTTCCCAACTGCAATATAAAGATCTATGTACCAAAAAAAAAAAAAGAAGAAAACAGCCATCAAACCTTTCAGTCTTTACATGGAAAACATTATTAATGAATCATGAATAGAACCTAACCTTTGAATCTAATACTCTGGAAAACCCACCTTGGCTAACAAAACAGCCAACAGTTGCTAAATACCCTAAACCTAATACCATCCATTTTAGATGAAATTGATAATATTTTACAGGAACACCCAAACTATAAGCACATATATACTGATAGTTCAAAAAGTATTAATAAAATTAGATGTTCAGCCGTTTTTGATGATATAACAATCAAAGAATGCCTACCTGACAAATCCTCTCTTTTTAGTGTTGAAGCTTAATCATAGACTTAACTTTAGACATCATAACAATCAGCCAAACAACTTCATAGTTTTCTCAGATTCACTATCCATACTTACATCACTGAGAAACAAACAATCATTTAATAGTTGAATTATTAAACAGGATCAATCTCATCTGCAAGAAAAAAAAATTGTCTTCTATTAGGTAAGATTGCCATACGGCATCTGTGGAAATGGAATACCTAAAAATGAATATTTCAAATTTGAAAATCCCCGAAACAGACTCCAAAGCAACCATAAACTCATACATTCTAAACAAATGCCAAGAATTATGGAACTATCACACAAATAACAAACTTTACACAAACCCATTCTGGGAGAATGTCATCATAGTCCCAGAATTTCTCAAAAGGAAGAAGTCATCCTATCAAAAATCAGAATAGGACACTTAGATCACTCACTCATTTCTTCTAAAAAATTAACGTCCTTCTGAATGCACAGCATGTCAGAAAGCATATACTGTAAAACATATTCTAACCAATTGTAGTGACCTTGCTTCTATACATCAATGATTTTATGACATGACTAGTCTAGGGGCCTTTTCAAGAAGATGAAAGTAGAGACTATCCTAGCCTACTTGTAGGAGGTTGGCCTATAACATAAATTATAGCACTAAATAACTCTGTTCTAGAGGCATAACTGGTGAGTGATGGAATCAACAACCCAAAAGGATTGTTTACAAGCTATATATTGAAAAATACATTTTGCAGAGTAAAAATAGAACAATCAGTCAATTAAATGCTTGTATTTTTCCATAGATTTTAAACATTTCTATACAAGTATTTATCATTGAAATAAATTGTTATCTAAAGAATCTGAGAAATTTTGCCTAGCAAAGATGTCATTTATTCATTATTGTTTGAATTTTTACCTGAAATTATCATTGAATTTAATTTGGATTTTGAAGTATCTGGTGCTATAATTCTTCAGTATCAAAAGAATTTAGAAGCATATTGAATCTGAATTTTGTTCTTAAAAAAATTTTACAAGATTTTTGTTACTTTACAATTGAAAACTGCAAATAATGTCTAAATTATAACTATTTTACTTCAATTTTTGTTATTTTAAACAGAATTGCTTATTGGAAATCAGGTTTTGCACAAGAATATGTATCCTTTAATAAACTTATTATTTTGTTATGTTTAAAGTTCTAGTAAAGTTCTATGATCTATATACATATTATATACTTCTAAAGAATAGCAATTAAAAACACAACATACTAATTGGATGACATCTATGGAAAGTACCAATTAAGAGGCTACATTAAATGCTACCTTAGAGGAGATAGCCAAAGAAAGTTCAATAGATTTGTGGTCAATACTACTTTAGAGCTGTTTTCCATAGCAAAACTATTCAAAATAATCTTACAAAAGTAAGACCTTATTGTGAGGAAAATATGACTGATATCTCATGTATTCAGATTGGAATATTTATAATTTACAAATTCTTACATAAATATACAAATAACTATCATTTTTGTTTTTAATTAGGTATTTACAAGTAATGCGAAAGTTGCAGCTGACTTATCGTATGGAACCTGCTGGAAGCCATGGTGTCTGGAGCCTTGATGATCATCAGTTTATCCCTTTTATTTGGGGAAGTGCTCAGCTAATTGGTAATAATTTTCTTTGTATTATTTTCAAATAACTTCACTTTTTATGCACAAATGACAAAACATTGATTTCTCTAATATGGCGTGTGTACAGGATTCATATTAAAAAATATTTTAAATTTGAAAAGTTTATTGATTTTATAATTACATGCTTTTCTTTTAATGTTGTAGAAAGTGTTCATTTCATATTCTATATCAACAAATTTAATTTTGTTGAATAAGAGGCTGAACAATCTTTACAGTGGTATAATCTTTATAGTACTTGCTTTGAGAATAATAATGATTTTCAATTTTTGCAGTTTTATCTTGCAAAATCTGTATTGATGAAAAGGAGAAAATCTGAAAAACAAAAGGAAAATATTGAATTTTGTGAATATTTTTATTATAATCTAGAAGTATTTTTTAAATGTTCTTTATAATTGTAGATATCTTTTATAGTTGGTGGGGGTTCATGAAGGAAGATTTTATTAACCAATTTACTAATGTATTGAGTGTGATTGTTTTGCTATCATGGCCTTGTGCCAGACTAGGTCAATAACATACAAAAATTAGCTAGTTCATCTCAGAGACCAGTTATAGGTCCTCCTCACCAAATTTGGCTAAGTTTTATTGTTGACACATATTTAGAAATTTTGGAATTTGTTGTTTTCTTCATGAAAATATTATCAGTTTCATAAATGATTAAATTATTGAAATTTATTTCTAACTAAATCAGTTACATTTGTAAATGTTTGTTTTTATTCTACATTTCCCAGATGCTGTATTGCTTATGAATTTTATTTTAGCAATTACATCTTGGTATTGAAGGTGATTTTTTTTATAACAAATATTTAAAATTTTTTACAGTTGCTATCTGAAGTTATTTACAACTATTAACAACTATTTATTTGGATAGAATGGTGTTAATAGTATGGGAATCTTGTTATTTTGCATAGAAAAAGATTTGCAGATATTAAATAGAAAAACTCAGTTACATCTTCTAATCATTTAAATAAGTTTTTTCTCACAAATCATGTTAATGGTGTGTTTGTTGTGCTTCTGATAAATTAATGTCTGATGGAGAACTGAAAGGAGGAAAATAAATTGAAGAAATATAAAATGTGGCTGGCATACAGCCATTCTTATACTCCAATGAATCAATCTGAATTGCTTTGATGAATCACCTTTTTATTGGCACAGCTTTCAATGAAAACAAACTTGTCAAAAATATATCTGTTTGGATTAATTTTAAAATTTTTCTCACATTATTTTTTTATAAATGAAGATTGAAAATATTTTTGATTAATTTGCTATTAGATGTATACAGAAATTTCTAAAATATTTTATAAAAAAAATCCAAAAATTCTTTTCTACAGTACATTCAGTATATAGTTTTCAAAAAAGATGCTGGCAACTGGTTGTATACAGGTCATAAATAGACAGAAACTGTATGTTACTATTTCTTTTTGTAATCAGCTCACAAAAATCAACAAAACGTACTATTTGAACATTTCCAATTTTTTTGCAGATAAAAACAAATGATTTTTTGTTTTTCAAAAGTAGAGGCTCTGCAATAACTGAAATTTTTATATTAACATGTGTGCGGCTGATTTGCTTTGTCTTTTTATCTTTTTGAAAGTTCTCTGTCAAAGTACCACGTTCATCTTACAGGATAAAAAACAGGTGGAAGGTTTTTTCGCTTTTCTTCATTTTGAATCCTTTTTTTTCTAACAGTATTATCATTCAAGAACATTAGCCTCCTCTTCCTACCTGTTGGGGCGCACCCACCTTCTAACTAGTAATGGACTGGTCCCTCTTATATAAGTCAGCTCTGGGGAGAGAGTCAGTGTGAGCAGTCCAGATAAGCTTACCCGGTACATACCGTTGGACTATAGACTTTGGATATTGTTTCGTACTAACCAACCTTCATTCTACTAATCACTCTATTGTTAATTGCTTTTATGAATATACCAGTATTTTCCTCTACAACTGTGTTTGTCTTGATTCATACACCGACACGCGGGAAACTCACAACATCTCAACACTACCCAAGTGTCAAGTTTGAAAAATAAATAAAACTGATTTTTTTAAAAATAGTTCCTTAATATAGAAAGGAAGTTCCTAAATTTTCACATTGAGCTTTTTCAATATGGCATCCAAAATGTCTACCAAATCTTTAAAAATACTCATTACTCATGTTAAACAAGTTTATCAACAGTTTTCCTTAGTATTAGGTATTCTTGATAACATCAAGTTTGCCACAATCTAACTACCATAAAATTATGAGTTATGGCCATCAGCAAAAAATGTTTATTATTCATTTAATATTAATGCTCATCAAATCTCTTGAATAGTCAGTCACATGTAGTATCAAGTGTGTTTTAATAAAAGTCTATCACAGTCTGATCAGGGGAAAGGTTTTCTTTCCAAAGTGGTTGCCAGCCAAATGCTTAAATGCCCTTTACTTATTCACTATTTATTGTAGACAAGATTTTTCAATAGTTTTCTGCTATGTCAGGTGTGTTTAATAATATACTAAATGTCTACTGTTAGAAACTTATTATTTTCATGATGGCACCTAAGATGATACCTCTAGAATGATGGTAATTTGGTAAAGTTTAACCTTTGTGTCTGTAAAAAAGTGTTTCAAAAGGACTTTTTCTGTTGACACTTCTATTATTGTAAACTACCAAGATTCTTTCAGCAATGTTTATTTACAAGATTATAAAAATATGTGAATTAAGCACAATGCGATACTTATTATTTACCATTTTATAAATAAATAACTATGAATAAAGACAAAAGGAAAACTTATCTTAGCTAATGCGGTTTGTCCTCTGATGGATTTTATGAAGACAAATTCTCCTTTCACAGATATACTCTACCTGAAATTTTACACATAAATAACTATGAAAACACATTTTTTAATTGTAATTTTATAAAAATATCTATGAACTATAAAACTAGAAAATTTTGAATAAATACATGCTTTTCCCAGACATTATACACTTTCTTCTCAAATTATTTTATATCTCAGATTACTTTTTGTTTTAAATTTTCAATTGTTTATTGAATTGTGATCTAGGATTAAGAGTGACTAATCAGTAGAAATCCAAGGATTGGAACTCCAGCAAATAGTGGTTACTCCCCTTCCTCCCTTCACATGTTGTGATCTTGAAGATGTCATTATATGCCAAAAGTTCAGTGTATATAAGACGAAAGATCATGTCTATTTCTGTGTGTTGTAGGCTCACATTTTAATGCACGTAACTCTTTGCCAAATTCTGTTTAAAACACCAGATTGTTTGGAGAAAAAAGACACTGTAAGCCATTCTTATGGTGTATGTTAGGTTTTTGGATGATAAAAGTGAACTCAGGAAATTCTTTTTGCTCATAGTCTTGTGACAGATACTAAAGGAGCAACAAATTTTAAAGAAGTATCAGGCTATTTCCAAGAAAAAAATATTCCTATGGGTAACATCATAACATGTGCAACTGATAGTGCTGTTGCTATGGTAGGTAGATACAAGGGCTTTGTAGTATATTTAAAAGAGACTGTTCCTAATTTGTTTTACATACACTGTATGGTTCATCAACAACATTTAGTTGCAAAACATTGGGATGGGCATTTGAAAAATGTTCTTGATAATGTAATAAAGATTGTCAACTGTATCAAGACAAATCAACTCCAAGATCATCTTTTCTATCAACTTTGTGCTGATAATGAAGAGTTTAAAAACTTAATTTTGCATACAGTGGTTAGATGGCTTTCTGGGTTGTTTTGTTGAACTATGGCAAAGTGTTGAATTATTTTTAAATGGCACAGAGCTTGGAGACGAAATCATTACTGGTAAATCTGACATTTTCTGCCTTTCAGATAGATTTTAGAAACTAAATATATGAACAAGCAGGTACAAGGAAAAAAATGAAAATATTTTAAATTGCAAAGAGGCAATCTGTGCTTTTCTTGGAAAACTTTGTTCAGAATTAATATGGCAAATTTTGGAAAATGTAGCAGTTCCTTAGAATTGCTACATTTTCCAAAACTTGCCATATTTGTGGTGCTGCATGAAGTTGCTATTTTAATTTGCATTGATCATTTGAAAAAGTTGCATGATGATATGAAAACAAGGTTCAAAGGTCTGGAAATGGAGATTACAAGTTGTGTGGTAGACCCATTTGAGACAAATGCATCATACTGCAAGAAAACTTGATTGAGTTGTAATCAAACTGCTAGAGCTAGATTTAAACATGGATTCCAGAACTTGTGGACAAGTAACAAAATTACAGTTATTTTTCCATTACTCTGGGAGAAAGTTATGGCAGCATTCACCAACTTAAACAAGGAGTCAGTCTAGAAGGGTTGCAGAAGATTCCAAAGTCTCCTGGAGGCCGTGGTTGAAGCCTATGGCGTTTTTATTGAATAAATTTACTCTTTAGTATTTCAAGATATTTTTGTGTAATTTTGGTAAATATATCAGTTAAAATGAAATGTTACTATTATTTTAATTTTTGCATAATTTAGACGACAATTTATCCATCGCGCCATCTATAATTTTATTACTTAAACGTTATTTTTATTGAATACTTGTATTTGAGTAGATGCTCTGTTTATTTATTAAACGGTATATTTATTTTGTACTGGCCTGAATATTTGAGAAAACTTATTAGAGAGAAACTTACATTCTATGGCAGGATTCAAACCTGCGTTCCTTTAGGAGAAACTGTCATTAGATCTGACATGTCTTGACCTCACAGCTACAGAATATGTTGATAATCAAAGTCAAATAGTGCTGTCACAAATACGAGTATCCACTAAAAATAACATTTGAGTAATAAAAATCCATCCCTTTCCTTACAAATTGCTTTGTTTATTTTATTTATATATTTTAGTTTTGTTTTTTTTTCAACTTTCTATTTTAAATCTGTGTTTAAAAGAACTATTTGATTTTACTTAGTCGTTGACATACTCTGTAGCCGAAAGGTCAAAGCATGTCAGATCAAATGATAATTTCTCCTAGGGGAATGCAGTTGGACATAGATAATAAAACAATCAAAAAAAGAAACTGAAAACATTGAAAAGATAAGAACAATGAATAAAACTGGCTCATAAGGTCACAAAAAGAAATTTGAGAACAATTAAAAAGGTAATGAGCAAGAAATATGGATTGACCAAGAAGGAAATATTTGAAGAAGTAAGTTTTACAAAAAGAATATGCCTTTCCATCTTGGTTTTTATACTTTTGACCATTCTACCCTCCGAGCATTTATGGACGTAGATTGTTCTCATTTTTTTTTTCATTCATATCTATTAATTTTTCCGAGTCTATTTTATCTTTTTGTCATGTGTCTATTTCTTTCACTGAACCAGAATGTATGACATTTAATCTCATGATTCGGTTGTATTTGTATACTATAATCATTTTTTTTTTTCTTATAGGTCATCCAAGAATTTTGCCCAAGTCATTTATTAAAGAAGAAATTTATGAAAATTTTAGTGACGAGTACATTTTCTTAGCGTGCATTAAATATATAAACCAAGTAAGATCTTTTAACTTTTGAACATGAAAACTTGGGAAATGTGTGTTCATTTCAAAATGATATTTTTTTTGATTATGCACTTACAATTGATAAAAGTGATTTCTAGATTTTGTCTAAATCCAGACTTGCATAAGTATGTTGCCATGAATAGGATGAGCACAGTTAGTACTTTTTCACAAAGTCTTGGAAACATGTCCATTACTGAATACCAATATTGTTCTAAAGTTTTGCTTTCAAACTGCATTTCAAGAACAGGATTTGTGCGCAGCTCAATAAGATCTTCCTTCAGCACTTCATCATCTAACTTATCCAAATTGAAGGAGTATAGATTTATAATCCATTCTTCAGAAGTTTCCAGTTCTCCTCCTCCAAAATATTCATCAAATGACTTTGATAGTATTTCCAAATGATCCACTATTTCTTCACGCACTCTTGGAAATAGGGACTTCTTGTTATCAACCATTTCTTCAAGTGATGGAAAATTTGAAAAATTCCTAACACTAAAGATATAATTTTTCTTTGAAAGCATTTAAGTTTTTGCAGCATTTCAATATGTTTGTTTTTCCCTTGAATAAATACACTCAGGTCATTCATATGAGTGAAAATATGCTGAAATAGACTAGCATTTGGTTGAATTCTTGTGATTCCATTTCTCTGGGCAGATCATAGTCATATTCTTTCAGAAAATCTTCTTGCTGTTTGAAGAAGTGCATTAAAGCTCTCCCACATGACAGCCAGCAGACTTCCATGTGGAAACCAAATCTGAATCCTCACTTCCAAAATCCTCACAAAGTAACTCCTAATTCAGTTGATAGGCTTCATAGAAGTATCAAGGACCTTTTTTAACTTTGGAGGCTATGTTTTTGATGCCAAAGCATTTTGATGAAGATAACACTTGGTACCTTGCAAGAATCTCTTGTTTTTCAGTGCAAAAAAATCCTGATTTATTTCCTAGCATAGCAGGGGCACTGTCAGTACTCACAGAATCAATAATTTGGATATCTAAGTCATATTTTGCAAAGAATGTCATTCACAAACTGGAATACAGCTTTTCCTTTTGTGGTTGCTTTCAGATCTTCATAGGAAATTTTCCATTATGACAATATCATGCAATGTGTTGACTGCAGTTTGCAACATCAGTTGTTTTGTCCAACTGGAGAGAGATTTTTCAAGGGACTAGCTGATAACTCAAATCACCAATTCAGCTCTGAATAACATTATTTGATAATGGCACTAATTTAAGTTTTGTTTGAGGCTCTTCTTTTCCCAGAACAATTGTTGCCATTTTTTAATGCACACATTTTTGTCACCTCATCTGCAATTGTATAGGGCTTCTTGGATTTGGCTACTTTATACTCCATGAAGCCATCAGCAATTTTTTGTCAAATATAAAACATGATTTTGGAAGGTTGCTTGAGAATCAAAGTGGGCCCTTTTAGATTTCAATGATTCAACATCATGGCCTACAATATCTGCTCCACCATGCTGGTTGTTGAAGTGTCCCTGATGCTTAGATTGACCCTGTTGGCTGGGGCTTCAGAATACACTGACTGCACCTCTGCAGAGGGGTAAGACTCCCTTCAAATGAGGTGTCCTGGGTAAGATGATAAACTATGTTCAACAGCAAGGCCTCTGATCAGGAGTTTTTGATGAGCTTAATTGCTGATGTTCCCAGGTCCACCCTGACTCGGGGGTGGTAGCACCTGTTACAGTCCCAGTTATGAGCAAATAATTAATTGGGGTCAATTTGTCCTAGGTATGACTATAAACTACATTCTCATCCTGAGTAAGACATTAAACTATATCCAACAGCAAGGCCTCTGATTAGGAGGTTTGATGAGTGTGGAATCACCTCTTAATTGCTGGTGTTCACAGGGTCACTCTGACTCAGCACCTATTAGTGTCCCAACTATGGGCAAGTAGTTGACCTCCAAACAGGGGGCAAAATTTTGTGGAAGTGTAAAAATAGGTATTAATACCAGCAATACATTTTTGAGGGAAAAATTATTATCAGAAATACATTTTCAAGAAAAAATTTTTACAAGGATTACATTTTTGAAGGAAAAAGTTATTACCAGCAATACAGTTTTGAAGGAAAAATGTTATTACCAGCAATATAGTTTTGCAAGAAAAATTATTATTGAAGATACAATTTTAAAGGAAAAATTATTACTAGCAATGCTTTTTTTGAAGGAATAATTATTGCCAGCAATACATTTTTAAAGAAAAATTATTACAAACAAAATATTACCAGCAATACATTTTGGAAAAAAATATTACCAGCAATACATTTCTTTGGAAAAAATATTATCAGCTATACATTTTTTGAAAAAATATTACATGCAATAAATTTAATAGATTTACCTTTTAATAGATTTTTGAAAAATTTTGTTGGCATGAAATAACCATTGAGGTTGATATGCTGTAAAACAAAACAAACCAAACCTGCTGCTTAGATGCCTTCAAATTTTCATTTGATAAGACAGTATCACAAATCATGCACTGAGGTTTTTGTAGATCATCAGTTGTTCTGGTGCAAATGAAACCATACTGCGCATAATCCTCATTCCATTTCCTGACATAATGAAGGGTTAATTATTAATTTAAGAATTATAATCTGGAAAAAAAACTATGGATAAAGTTGATTAGAAGAAAAATAACAATAAGTATAATCAGTGTTTATTAGGGACACAAGAGAAATGAGCCCTGCTTAAACACAAACTGAACACAGAATGCACTGAACAATGAACACAGAATAAACTGATTACCATAGCATCATGCACAGGTTTATAGACTCTGTGAAACTTTTCAGAACATTCTTGAATATATGTTACATGACATCATAGAACAGATCATATTCTGGAAATGACGTTATTGATTAATTCTTGATACTTTTGGAAGATTCTCAAGTCATGATCACATGACTACATAACACAAATAAATAATAAGAAATAAAAATCAAACATAATTTGCTGCAAAACACAAAATGACAAGTTTGACTCCCTATTTTATATGTCCCAATAAAAAAAAAAGTTAAAGGGCGATGCCAATTAAAAGGAAACAGCACATTGAAATGTGCTAAAATTTGTAGAGAATATCATTCTATTGAACAGACGACATCCCCATCTTTAATTTCGACCTTAAAAAAATCAATATTTTTATATTGACTATATAGGACAGAACCCTTAATATAAACAAAAAAACTGAAATGTTATTTTGCACCCCCAAGGAGTTGACACCCTTGGTTTGGAAAATCCTGCTTTAGACCTTTCTCTTACTGATTACTGTTTTTTATCGCATTTTAGATGCATATATAAACCAACAAATGCACATTAATGTAAACCAAGTTGAAAATATATTTCACTTGTTTTCTTGACTAATCATGACCCCCAGCTTTTATTGTTGATAGAATAAATTCACTAATGGATTGTTGGCAACAGTGTGTGAATTCTATTGCAGCTTAATTTTACCAATAAAAATTGTGTTTGAGCTGATTTATAATGTTTTAAAGTTTGGTTCAAAATGACCATTTGTTTTAACCTATTACTTTTAGTAATGGGTTGGCCTAAAAAGTTTGTTCAGTTATTAAGTAGAAATAAAATAAATCAAATATCAAACTGTTATAAATATTGTTCTGGTTTCTTAATAAATATTTATGACTGTATGCATTCTATAGAATTGGAAATCATTTGATATGAATTGAAAATCCAACACTCATACTGTTAAACTATTAGTTATCTTTGCATCCAAGTTTCATATTTTTTGTTCTCATTTTGTATAAAAATATTTCTTTTTTAGGTGATATTATTTTTAAGAAAAATTATGTTATTTACTATTTTTTATGAAGAGTCTGAATTATTTTTCTAATTTGTTAAACAAATGCAGGTCAAGACTGGGCCCTTCCATGAGCATTCCAATCAATTATGGAACATTGCTGGAGTTCCCAATTGGAATAAAGTCAATTCTGGTCTCATTAAAATGTACAGAGCTGAGGTATGTTAAAAATGTTAACACTTTTTCGAGGGGAGAAGTAGACATGGGCTTGGATTGATGTGTAAAATGAAAAGTGAATAATAAAATTGTATAAAAGTCCCATTAAAATTTCAGATTTTCATATTAGATAGCATTTTAGTGAAATCAAATTATAGTGCCAATCGATATATGTTCATTACTGCTGAAAATAATTCAGACTTCATTGACAAATCTTTTCTGTAATTATTACCCAGGGCAGGAATTTGAATGTTGAATGTTCAAACAGAAAATTTGCTTTTTATTGTCTTTAGATTTTTAAAGTGCTGATGAAATTAATTAAAATCTAATTTATAAACCTTAGGTTATTTGCTATAAGTGATTGTTACCAAATGTCTATGAATAAAATCCATGATAAGCAATTGGAAATAAGTATAGGGGAATTTGATGAGTTAGAATCCATTGTCAAAATGCAAGATTAATAACAAACAGAATTAATAAAATTTACAATGAAAAGAAAAAAGAATGAAACTGCAACAATCATGCAAGCAAACAAACAATATAGTTAAAGCAAATCAAACAGGTAAGAAGGCAAAAGAATTCACAAACTATGAGTTAGTGTTTGTACACAAAAGCAAAGGTTGGACAAATGGACACAGTATGTCTGGCTAATAGTTAAGGCAAATCTGGACCGAGTCATGTCAAAACACAAGCCATCCCATTTTATTGGCTAAGAATAATATCTCAGCATTGCATTTTTGTGTCCTTCTGACTATAAGAGGGGGAGAGGAAAAACTTTTGCAATCATTCCCCCAAACTTGGGAAATCAACAGATTTACTTCCTGACAACTGACAATAAAATTTTATGTCCTGTTTTGCATTTAATTCATTATTAAAATAGGCAAATATCAAATAATCAAAGTTACACTAATGAAAAATCAAATTGCACCAATTTGAAGGACTGTGTTGATTTTGATTTGGATACAGTTTACATATGTTTGTCGGCTATTAGATATTCTGATAAAAATTTCAAAGTCTTTAGTGATCTTCTAATGTGTTAACACTTATAATAGTGTGCTGTCTGAGCTTTTGATGATGATGCATGTTGCAATATGGTTTAGTGTGGTGAAAGAGACTAACGCAAGTACATTGTCATGCTATGGAGGTGCATGTATACGCTTTATGCTCTGTTAGATCCTTTTGAGGGGTAGTTAGATTGTGGACCTTTATGAATTTGGATGGTCATTTTGGTGAATTACTGTGCATGTTGAACATGTGATGTGTTGTTAGTGCTTTTGATATTGGCAACAGTGTCTAAATTAACATTCCTGATTTATTGACCCAATTTTGGATGGCCACATACTACAGACACTTTTGCCAACATTGACACATTGTAAGGACTGCAGTGGCAGACAGCCTGGCAGCCATAATACAGATCATAGTAAATTATAGAATCAGGAGTGTGAACATGGGCCAATTGAGAATCATTTATGTTCAACAGTACTACAGACGCACATGCCTCTAACTATACTTTTCAGTTAGTCCCCTTTAACTGTAGCTGTATTGTACAAGTGCAAAATTATATATTGCAGGGTGGTATTTGCCATCTGTATGATTGACTGTCTGCAAGAGTTCAAGTCTGTGTTGACATCTTAGGAGTATTTACAGTGTATTCATTTGGGATATTAGTATTGTTGATACTCTTTACATATTTATAAATATTTATAGATATATAAAATCTATGACTTTTTATATGTAATCATTTATTGTATTCTGACAAAAATTGCTAAAACAAAATAATTGGCTGCCTTTTCTCTTGGTTTAGTATTTTAATGTTCATTAAAGTTGGCTTTGTTCAAAAAATGAAAAACTTAACATATATAAAATGTCTAATCACCCAAAATGTAATAAAAAATTCAAATAATAATAAATTATTTTCCCCACTTTTTATAATATCTTGGCCTGTGTATTAGACAATGTGAAATATTCTTTAACAAATAATATCTGATTTCGGAAAATGAGAAAAACTTTTTGTGAAAAGACTATTATGTTTGGAATGAATCGTATATTTGTATAACAACAAAGATGAGGACATTTATTGTTTGTAAAAACAAAAAAAATGTACAAAATATGGTTTTGGTCTCTTATTGGTAACTTACAAGTTTCATAACAAGTACAACCTTTGCACTTTATTTTTAAAGAAAAAGTAAAAAACTGATTAGTCTTAATCTTCAGAAATGAATATAGATTGATTCATATCTTTTTATTTTATTAAAAGTATTAATACTTTTAATTAAAATCATAGCTACTTTGTTTACAAATTATGTATTTTATTTGGGGTTATTTTTCTGTTTTTGTCTTGATATCAAATGTTTAATTTCTTGCTATTTTTATTTTCAGGTACTTGACAAGTTCCCTGTGATTCAGCATTTCTTGTTTGGGTCATTAATGAGCATTGAATATATAAAATCTTGAGTATCCATCTGAAATCACTTTAACCAAAACTTACCAATCCACTGGATTCATCATATCACATTGGATACTTCCAGAATAAAGTGTTTGTTCATAGATCTCAAATATCAAGTCTTCAACAAATTCATTTTCCATTATTTGCTATTCAATAGACAAATGAAACTGAAAATAAATAAAAACGGTTTTTTTTATCTAAAATATTTTTTCCTCTATTTCTTTTATATATAGTAATAAAAAAAAAAGATTTATTCTAAGGGCCTGTGATGTATTGTGAAGTAATTCCATGAATTATTGGAACTTGTATCCTCATTTTATTTACAATGCAATATTTTGGCAATATATTTTGTCCAACTTTCTTCTGTTATAACATGGACCTTTGAGGCTCAAAACTTCAAACAGTTCATAATTAAGAATAAAATATTTTTACTGTATGAACCTTTTGATAATTGACTCTGAAAATTGTTCTAATTGAAATATTAATAAGTGATGAGGAAATTTACCATAACAGTAAGGATATTATATAATAATTATAACAAAATTATCAACAAAGATTTAGATATTAACCCAAATACTTATTTTGAATTTATCATTTTATAGCTATTTAAATCAAAATAATTGTTTAGTTTTGTTAGATTACAAACATTTAAAAAACGTAATTAGCTTTTATATCACGATATATTTCTTATTAAATATTTAAAGCTTTCTATTCTGGAGTCAAGAATATTTAAAGAAAATTAAAATCCTAAGAAGATCATTGGAAATTGTTATTTATTGTTTTGAAAACTAAGAAATGAATGTTTCTCTAAATTTTACAATTTTGAATAATTATCATATTTTTTTTATTAAATTTAACTTGCAAAGTTTAATCTTTGAATATTTTATTGCAAAGAACTTCCCCAAAATATTTACTACTTATGTATGATAAACTGTGTCAGTTATAATTTAAATATATTTGCTAAATTATTTCCATGAATTTGTGCATAAAAAATGCATCATATTTCCTTTATTTTCCTTATATAATAAGTCATTTTTTTTCACTATAAGAAAATTCTTTCTTCTACACAGATATATATGAATTAATGACTTCACCTTAATTGTGATAGTCTCAATGTATTGGTCATTATACACTCTGGCCATATTCAGTATCTGTTGTAACTGGTAGCATTCAAAGGATTTTGCATAGAACTCTTTATTTAATTCACCAAAATAAATTGTTCTCATAATCAAATTGTAATTGGTCCACTTTGGAATCAGTAAAAGAATTGATCATAGTTTGATATTTCTTGTGATACTTATTTGGTAATAATTTTAGATATGTTTATTTTTGATAGTAAGTTTGCATCAGTCTTAAATTAATTGGAAATAATATTTTCAGTAAAATATTAAGTAATGTCACTAGCAGATAATTTTTAACAATAGAGAAAAATACTAAATTAAACTTTATAAGCTTTTCTTTTTTTACATGTCTTATTATTATCCTGCCACAAAATGTTTATCATTTGTAAATATTGTTATAATACAGTCTTTTTTTTTCTTCTCATCTTAATATTTTGTAAAATAAAAATTTTATACATATTTTTTACCTTTTCCTTAATTTGGCTAAAACAAATTTTGAGGCAGCATCAGTGGAGCTATCCTAGTAATCCAATTATTTTGATTACTTGGTAAATAAGTGATATTTTTATGCAGTGTTGGATTTTACAACTTTACCTATATACATAAAAATTAACAACATTAGAACTTACTATTTTCATTACATAAATTCTTGCATTTTTTTATTGCAATAAATATGATAATTTTAAATGAAAAATAATAGATGCTTGTAATACACTTTGATATAATGAGATTTTTCAAATTATACTTCAAGGAAGACAATATACAGTGTGTGATGTGTCACAAGTTTATATTTTTAATTTTTCACATGTTCGTTTGTTTTTTGGGCACTGTGAGTAAAAGAGCAACATGACAAAATTCACTCCAGAAGAAATTTGGAAGTGACTTGCTGTACTGCTTGGAAGTGTTAAATTGTGAAAATAAAAAGTTAGAAAGTTAAAGGGAGATAACTTTTACATCTGAATAGTGCTTGTTTAAATATGTCCTTTAAAATTTTGTTTATATGCAATTATGAATAACTTTATTCATAAATTCATCACTGAAATCTACATCTATGTAATAAGGTTGCTTACTATTTTGGTTTTGTTTTAGGACTATTTAGAAACGAGTTACATTAACGAAAAACAAACCCATTTAAATATTTGTCTTATCCAAAATGAATGCATAAATAAATTAAATATTTGAAAAAGTCTTCTGTATTAATTCATATTATTCTTTATTTTGTTTTAATATTTATATTTTAATCGTAACTTAATTTATGTTTTATTGTTGTTGCCCAACAAAAAGAAAATCAGTTTCTTGACTTTAACTGATTTCAACATTAAATAATCTTAAACCATTAAGACTTGACAGTCAATCATAAATAAGCAACAGTCACATTAACAAGTGTAATTTTTAAATGATACATAATTTAAGAAAAACACCAGTAAGATATAAGTTAGCTATCTTGTATTTTCTATGTTTAGATTTTTCAGTGAAGAGAAGGTTCTATCTAACCAGTTGAAACCAGTTTTCAGACAAATGACGTTTAGTATTATAAACTGGATTTCATTGAAAGTAACCAGAATGGATGCATTGAATGTGACTCATAGAACCCAAATGATAACGTGTGTGTGCCAGAAGATGGAATAAGTTTGTTTTTAATGAAGATTCAGAATAATATAGTTGAGATTGGCTTTTGTTTTTGATTGGTGGGTGTGTGTATTTTTTCTCAGATTTCTGATAAAGGCTTTTTCGTAAATATCTTTTCTTTTTTTGTCTCTTACATTTTTGTCTATTTCAATTTATGACTGATAAGATTGATATGCTCATTCTTTTTATTGTCTCCTCCCATATATATATATATATGCACACACATACACACAACCAATAAACACACAAATGACAAGATTCCTGGTAAAAAGAATGAAGTCAACCATGTAAATCCACACACAAGCTCACCAATCATTCACTACAAATTTTCTCTTCGACAATCTTTTCTGCTCAGGAAAATAATGTTTAATTAATTTTCCAAGCAAAAATGGCATTTTTTTGGAACATTTTGTGCAAGCAAATTTTTGTTTTTTACTAATTTCTATTTCACTTCAGGCATTTGTCTATATTTGTTCATCTGTTATATATATAATAAATATTTCAACAATGTTGTTCTGTTTTCATTGCACCTCCTTTGGAAGAAAATCTCTGCTTTCAAGGTCCATAACTCCAATGTATTTCATATCTGCCGTCATCTGCCTCCCCATTAGCTTGGTATACTACATATTGAACCAAATATTCACCTTCCAAATTACAATTTTCTTTATTTCTACAGGAGTTAGAATTCTAACAAGCATTAAAAATCTTCAGCAATTTAAGCTGCTTCACCAACTGAAACATATCCATACACTAATCTGACTTATATATAAAATAGATATGTTTTTTAGTATTGAGCACATTATTTACAAAAATCTGCTCCCCTTTAAATGCATTAAAATCCAGTAATTTATTGGCTGACATTTTTTGTTAGGTATTCATGATCTGTCATTATTACATACATATAAACAAAAATTATTGGAAAAATCTAGGAAGTAAGGTACTTCAAAAGCATCCATTGAAAGAAACAAATGTAAAGATTTTGGTTAATTTAATACTCGTATAGCGAAAGAAAATTGTTATTAATATGAAATTTATTTCAAGGAAATTTAAGAAACTGATAAGTTGACATTGGAGAAATTTCAGTATTCGAATGTTTTATATGGTCAAAGGGGAATAACCAATATATTAGTAACCTCCCTTGGATGTGGCATTTATTTTAAAAACCGTCAGTTTCATAAGTTAAAATGAGGACATTTTGTTGGTTTAAAAATTAATTTTAAAATAAAGTATTTTTTTTTCATAATTAAAAAAATGGAAACTTGAGTTCGAATATGAAGTACCAAATTTTACATAATTTTTTTGAAAAAATAATAGCCATAGTCTAGTCAATTGTCATGTAAAGAAAAAATACTTTTTAAACTTTGAAAAGATGTCCTGGAGTAGGAAGAAAAACAGTATTGAAGCGTTAAACAGGGAAACCAAAGGCAATTGATGTATAGCAAAGCATTTTTGTTTCTTTTTGAAGAACGGCTGTTCTCTTAGATGAAATGCTTAAAATCACTTTTTGAAATGAAAGAATAACTGGAATTCTTAGCTGTCATTTTCAAGATATCTCTGAATAGTTCTGGATATATGGATGAGTGATTGGCTCATTTCATTTTTAGACAGCACCCCTCCTCTCCTAAAAATAGTTTTGGTTTATTTTGTGGCAGGAGTGGAAAAAACGCGTTTCCTGATATATTTATCCCACAACAAAAATGGCTGACTCGTAATGTGAGTCCGGGTAAATGAACAAAGTAACAACAAAACTATGTACGTATATATATATATTAAGACATTTTTATGTTTATACATTCTTTTTATAGATATAAATATTTAAGTAAATGTTCTGTTTATAATAAACAGTATTAAACAACATTTACTGCCCTGAATGTCCGAGAAATTTTCATAGAAAATATTCGTCCTCCGACAGGATTCGAACCTGTATCCTATACGGAACCGTCATTTAGCTTGACGTGCTTTTACCGATTAAACAACATTTACTTAAATATTTGTATCTAACCGAACGCTCCTCTGTGGCCAAATCGGTAAAGGCACGTCAAGCTAAATGTCGGTTCCGTATAGAATACAGGTTCGAATCCTGTCGGAGGACGAATATATTTTATGAAAATTTCTCGGACATTCAGGCCGATAAATGTTGTTTAATACTGTTTATTATAAACATAGCATTTATTTAAATATTTGTATCTATAAAAAGAATGTATAAACATAAAAATGTCTTAAAATAATTGTCGGACTTTGTCCATTTCATAATGTGT